CTATCTATCTATCTATCTATCTATCTATCTATCTATCTATCTATCTATCTATCTATCTATCTATCTATCTATCTATCTATCTATCTATCTATCTATCTATCTATCTATCTATCTATCTATCTATCTATCTATCTATCTATCTATCTATCTATCTATCTATCTATCTATCTATCTATCTATCTATCTATCTATCTATCTATCTATCTACCTGCCTGTCTACATATCTATCCGTCTGTCTTTCTGCCTGTTGTTTGTCTGTCTGTCTGTCTGTCTGTCTATCTGTCTGTCTATACATCTATATATCTGTTCATCTGTCTACCCACTGAAAAGCCTGTCTGTCTATCTAAATAACTATCTACTGACCTATATGTCTATCTTCTGTTTTTTCTCTCTGTCGGTGTATTAGTCTGCCTGTGTGTTAATACGTCTTTTCATCCGCCTCTGTTCATCTGTCCATCACTTGGAGATGCCTCCTGACAATCGCAGACATCGACAGAAGATCAGGTTCCTCATTTTGTTTGCTTGTACCTGTCATCAGAGCAACATCAGGCCAACTATTTGGAAGACACCTTTGACCTAGTTCCTCACGTTCGCACCTGAACCCACATGTGCCACCCGTGGCGCCTCACCCCCCGATGAATTGTTTAACACAGAATGCCAAAACGGTTCCAGCTGGCTTAGTTTTGCAATTGAGATGATGAAGTCATTTGTGCCGCTGCTACTTCATTTTATAACAGTTAACCTCGGCGCTTACAGAGGTCAGGCTGGGTGTGGCCTGCTGTGTTTAATTCCAGCAGGGAAAGGCTTTTCCAGAATCTTTTTCTGCTCGTCCTCCTCCTCCTCCTCCTATTTCTCTTCCTTTTCAACGTCTTATACTTTTCTTCTTCTTCTCCTGTTCCTCATTTCCCTCTTCCTCCATATCCACCACCACCCCATCCTCCACCAAGACCTCCTTCAACTCCGAATCATTATTTCACGTCTCATGATGATGCTCTCGTGTGTCTGTATGCCGGTTTATGTGTGTGTGTGTCTGTGTATCTGCGTGTGTGATTGGGTATGTGCGCGTATGTCTGTTTGTATGTGTGTGGAATGTGCGTGTCTGTGTGGGTATGTAGGTAAGTATGTGGGTGAATGGGGTGTGCTAATGTATGTGTGAAGGTATGTGGGTGTGTTTAAGTGAGTGTGTGTGTGTGTGTGCATTTTACCACCCATGCTTTTGTGCTTTTTTCCCACAACTTTTTTGATATTCATAATATTCATATTATCATATGAATATAACATTCTTTTTGATAAGTGTGAAAGACGAGTGTTTGGAAGGGCCGAATGTAAGACGGGCCTGCGTTCGTTCGTTCGTTCGTTCTCTGCAGTTATGTAGATGTTGCTTTGTTTGACGCTTTTGAAAGCATGGCAGCCATTATAAGAACAGCAGTCGATCCACGTGGGGAGAACAACCTGCGCAGTGGATTGCTGTATTCTTATATTCAGAATACTGGAGCAGACTTGATCTAGAGACTAGACGCTCGCATGCGGATCGGAAGGTAGGGGGTTTGGGTACTGACTGGGTCGGCCCAGCCTTGAGTGGGTACCAGGTACAGTCCTGGAAAGTAAAGGCGGCCTGAGTGATGCTGACTATATCACCCATCAATTCCCGCTTGGTCTATAAATTATAGGGCTAGCCCTATTTGCCCATTTCACCTGAAGGAGTGGAAAAGTGTGTTTTAGTTTGCTTGACTGTTATATTGAGAATGAATTATATAGTTTACAGTACATTAAGTATTTTAGATGCGGTAGTTTCATTAACTGCTTTTGTTTCCGTTTTTGCAGGTTGAGTAATATTGCAAGGGAGGGTTGCTGAAACCTCCAAGCCTGGATGCAAATCTGTATAGTATCATCACTGAACTGAAACTATCCTCATTATCTAACTGAAAGTGTCATCATCGTGTCTAATTACGTCAGTGAAAGGAAACATGGACATCGCATCTGTTGAGACCCTCATATAAGTGTTATCAGGGCTATCTGAACGTGTCATCACCGTGTGTGATAATTTAAGTTGACAGACGCTACTCACATTACAGCAGGTGATATCGTAGATGTGTGATACCGGCAGACTTATAAACATCGTACGTGATGACGTTTTATAAACTTTACTGTCAGTCTAAGTAGCCTTTGTAGAAATAACGTGCTGAGAGCTGTGATAATACTGTTATTGTACTTATTCTTTCTGCTAAACTGTGTAAAACCATGACCATAGTTCTTGGATTATACTAACAAAGAGAAAGCAGTGATCAGAGAGACGACGCCCTCGTCGGCTTGCTTGTCTGCATGACTAAAGTACGGTCAACAGATAATAGGTCAACAGGAGGTGAATAATGTTAGATAATTTCTAACGTATAGTCAAAAAGGTTAATAATGTTAGATAATTTCTAACGTATAGTCAAAAAGCGACAGAATTTCAAATATATTCTTAAAGGAGCGTATATTCACGAAGTGACATAATGTCACGTAAGCCAAATAACACTGATGACATTAAAAGAGCATAATAGACAAAAGAGACACAATTTGTCTATAAGCATATAGAAATTCGGACCCGCCAGGTTAGAAAATGGTGAGTGTATGTTGACCGCCATCAAATCAAGAGATTGCGGAGCAGACGTGGGCGTCTTCCAGTTTTGATTTTCACCACCGCACTTCCTGTGACGGCCTTTCCGTTTCCGACGGAAATTTCACTGTTGTTAGAAGCGGCCATTATAAGAGAGCAAGAAATAGTTATGATATTATAAAAACTAATATCATCTACATAAAAATTATATGGAACAAATAAAGCATTCAACCGAAGTCGTAGGTTTAAACAATCATTAAATTATGTTAACGAACTCAAAATACATTGTATAAAACTCTGAATACAATTGTTTTACTGTCATAGTAACGAATAACTTTTTTATCTGTTTGATTCAGAGATGTTAAATACCTGATATCTCAACTCATATATTGTTAAAAATAATAATTTCAGTGTTATTTATCTTCATAATTTTATTCCCATTGGTAACAGATTGTTTGATTCCCGTAGTGTTTCACACATTGAAGCCCTAACAAGAACAACTACACCAGATCTAAAGCGAGTTAATTTTTTTTTCGTCAGGGTTTAACTAAGAATGTAATTAATGCCAGGTTGTGGAGAGAGACAAAGCCCGCGTGGGCATGACCAGAGTGTCGATTCCAATTAATAAGCAAATCAATCAATATAGATGATAGCCAGTTGGGTTGAAGAGTAAAGCGTTGACGTCATTGACGTGGGCAACGAGGAGTTAGGCGAGATCACAGAGCAATCTGGGCCATTTATTGCCTAGGAAATAAAATTTCAGACGCTAAATAAAGGGCCAATTGGAAATATTTCGACATTTGTAGTTATTGGGGCATAAATCACAGTTTTTAAGGCTTTTAGAGCAGTATATATTTTATTACATGTAGCTGGTTTTGTTCGTATCATTATATAGGCTGTTTTGATGAGTGCATTCACAAAAACAAGGAAACTCCACGCTTGTAACATTTGGAATGTCAGAAAGTGATGAACCGACAGACTGCATATGAACCGTATTTGCAAATCCCACATTTGACATCGAATATTTCCACGTGACCTTTACTTTTGTAGCAAAGTAACACATGAAAATTGACCGAATACATTGTGTTATCATATAATCTTAACGCCATATTTGTAACTATCACAAATTCAAGACTAAAAAAGTAGTTTAATTTTGTTCTGTTTTTTTCACTGCCCAAAAATCTTAACATCTTTCGCTTAAACTGGCATAAAAATGAATCTTCTATAGCGAAAATACTTTTCCAGACTTCACTGGAAATATAACGTTTATTTGTAATGCCCGTAGCAATATTAGAAAAGTACGATTGATGTCCTAATTGTGATCTATAAATTAGGAATATTTGTGTATGAAATCTGGTGGGAAATTAAGGGAGGGTCAGAATCCTGTCTTCCATAGGGTGAATAAATTGGGCCGTCGTTAATAATTGTAAGTGATTTGGACTGAACTGGGTAGAAATCTGGAATACTTGCCAAACAGTATGATGTCGTGAACTTGCCTGCTTGGATTTCGCTATGTGGATCAGAAAAGCTGGGGAAAATTTACCTGACACCGGGTCAATAATCCGATTATCTTATATATGTGGACATCTTCGTAAACCGAAACTGATGCGGGTTTTATATTTGCAGAGAATTATCGTGGCTGTTTCTGTCATATTAAGTGCGTTAAACCTCACGAACACGTCATTTGTTAGTTTGCAGTGAGACCTACCGGTCCAAATTACTTTTTATATTTAAAACAGGGCCAATATTTGGCTTCCGAACAGATGATCTGGCAGTTCAATTTGTTAAAGTAACATGGTTTGAAATATATAATGGAACACGCAGAACTTTCCGTTAAAGTTTATACCCGGTGCACGCAAAGAGAGAGGAGTATTTGTTGATATATTTTATTGTCTCTCAAATATACGACAGTTAAATTTAGTTAACATTGAGAGCAGAGTAATCAGAGGTTCGTGTCAGGAAAACTGGACCTAACTTGGAGCAATTAGATTTGTTACATCAAAGAACTTTCCTATGTGTCGAAGTATTTAATCGTCGAGATTAATCACTTGAGAAACTGTGATTTCATTTTTGAAGATTGTCACGAAGGGATATGTGTACTTTGGCAAAGAACAGTATGTGTAACATTTTTATATTTTCTAGTCTGGAAAGTGTCTGTGTTACTGACAGAGGCTTGGATTATAGTTTCTAGACACTGTGACTGACTGCAAAACTGGTTTTCTTACAAACTGGCTTCTCTGCAAAGGATTAATGCAACTGGCCTGGCGATGCAAAGACTAGTTTCCTGGCTTTTAGAAGTATGGACGATTTGACTTAAATATAATTTCCTCAAATAGCCAGATTTCACAAGGCATATTTTTGAAAATGAAGGGCTGTTTAAAAACGTGTTAATAATTTGAAAATGGCAACACACGCGTGTCTGTCTACAACTGACCAGCCAGACTACAAGGCTCAAGGCTATTCGAGACAGACTTTTCTGGTAGCTTGGGCCAGAACTGTACCACTGGTGTTTCTGGCTTTCTCCACGGTTGTGTTCAACTTGATGATTCTGTGGATGTTCAAAGTGAAGAGGTCTTTGAGAAGTTGCAAGAATATTTACCTTGCCAGTTTGGCTATCGCCGACTTGTTAATTGGCCTATGTATGTTCCTGGCAATAGTACAACAGTTGAAAGGTCACGTAAAATGGCTGCCGATGTTTTCTTGTCGTCTGTACTTGGTACTACGACAATCTGCGCTGTACGTATCGCTTCTAAGTCTGGTTCTAATTACGGGAGACCGGTGGTGGTCTATCCACTATCCGTTCTCGTACAGATCCAAGCGGAGCACCAGGAACGCTTTTGTGGCTGTAGGTTGTGTGTGGGTATTTGCTTTTGCTCTTCACGTTCCTCCGGTGACTTTGTGGGATTTGAACAAAACATTTGAAAGTTCTAATCTGACAGCTGCAGATTTCAACCTCGAAGACCAGGCTTTGATTACCTGTGAGCTGCCGTTTGTAGACAGCGTCCTGTTCGTATCAATAGTTTCTGCCGTGATCTACTTCATACCCTTAATGGCAGTGCTTAGTCTCAACTGCAGCCTTTACGTCGGCATTCTCCAGAGGAAACGGGTTCAAATCCGACGATCAGTCTCCGCTTCTGATAAATTGACATGGCTGGATAGACGCACTTCCGTTTCCTCTATTCCTGATTTTGCGTCAATGACAGACGAGAATATGCATCTTCTAAACGGCACGAACTCCAGACGAGGGCAGATGCGGTTAAATTCGAAGAGAAGGAATTCTGCAGATGTGGTTCTTCTCAGGTCGTCGGCACCTTCGCCATTGTTTAACAACATGAACTCGGGCAGAAGGTTCAGCTGGGCGCCAAGGAAGAATTACCTGGTGCGACCAAGTAAATGCGGAGAGGAACTGGCCAAAAATCTGTTGGTTAAACAGGATAGGAAAGCTGCTTTTTGGCTTGGTCTTTTGGTTGCGGTGTTTCTTGTATGCTGGCTACCCCATACCATTGTTGGAATACTGCAGTCTGGTAAACAAGCCAATGTGCCACAGTGGACTAAAGATGTGACATTTTGGCTTCTTTTAGCCAACTCGGCAATTAATCCATTGATGTATGGACTGTTTAACAGAGAAATCAGGCGGGCGTTTAAACAGTGGCTGTGTGGGGGGTCTGGCCGAAAGTGGAGGGCAAGGAATGCCTTGCTTCTGTACGGTGTGAGTTTGACAACGGCGGTTGCTGTCCCAAAGAGGATTTCCTCCTTTGAAGCTGTGCCTGAATAAATAAGTAAATTATGCAGATTACTAGTTCATTCCCATAAATACTGAACAAAAAAATGTTTTTAACAAAACAGACATGTTTTTAAATTGTTTGTTCATTTGTCTCTCTCTCTCTCTCTTTCTCTCTCTATGTATATATATCCATATATATATGTATATATATATATATATATATATATATATATATATATATATATATATATATATATATATAAATATATATATAAATATATATATATATATATATATATATATATATATATATATATATATATGTATATATATATATATATATATATATATATATATATATATATATACACTCACACACACATATATATACTGCTAGTGCTGCTACGATCTACTTTTACTACTGCTGCTGTTGTCACTACTACTACTGCTAGTGTCGCTTCTTCTACTGCTGCTGTTGCTTCTTCTACTGCTGCTGTTGCTTCTTCTACTGCTGCTGTTGCTTCTTCTACTGCTGCTGTTGCTTCTTCTACTGCTGCTGGTGCTCCTTCTACTGCTGCTGCTGCTTCTTCTACTGCTGCTGTTGCTTCTTCTACTGCTGCTGTTGCTACAACAATAACAACATATACTTTTATTATTACTACTACCACCACCACAAATACTACTACGACAACAAAAACAACTACTACTGTGCTACTACTACTGCTACTGCTGCTGCTGCTGCTACTACTACTACTACTACTACTACTACTACCAATACTACTAATACTACTGTTGATACTGCTGCTGCTCCAGCTACTAATACTACTTTTACTACTGCTGCTGCTACTGATGTTACTGCCGCTATTACTACTGCTGCTGCTGCTACTACTATTGCTAGTGTTGCTACTGCTACCAAAACCACCACCACCGCTACTACTACTTCTACTACTACTACTACTACTACTACTACTACTACTACTACTACTACTACTACTACTACTACTCCTACTACTACTACTACTACTACTACTACTACTACTACTACTACTACTACTACTACTACTTTTGCTGCCACTGCTGCTACTACTTCTTTTTCTTCTAGTCCTTGCTGTTGTTTTGGTTGTTGTTGTTCTTATTGTTGTTATTTTATTGTTGTTGTTCTCGTTATTGTTATTGTTGTTGTTCTTGTTTTTGTTGTTGTTGTTGCTGTTCTTCTGTTGTTGTTCTTCTTCTTTTTCTCTCTCTTCTTCTTCTTTTTTGTTTCTTCTTCTTCTTCTACTTTTTCTTCTTCTTCTTCTTCTTCTTCTTTTGTCTCTTCGTCTTTAACAGGATGGTTGTGTGTTTTGGTTTACAGCTAGGGCACTACATTTGCGCCTTCTGGTTCAAAACCTATGTTGTTTGTAAACTCCCAATTAGTGCCTTTTATGGCATGCTTATTACGAAACAACGAGTCTTTTCTTTTTTCGCCGTCAAATATGGGACCCCGCAACCCCACAGGGTGAATGTGACAAGAGAAGTCACTGCCATGCCCTGTTGTCTACGTGCCTACCCTGACACGACTGACAGCAGGTTACGTGTGGCTAGGCCAGGCCCGGTTGTCTACGTCCCTACCCTGATACGACTGACTGCCGGTACGTGTGCTGGGGCCACCCTGATACGACTGACTGCAGGTTACGTGTGGCTCGGCCATGCCCTGTTGTCTACGTGCCTACCCTGACACGACTGACAGCAGGTTACGTGTGGCTAGGCCAGGCCCGGTTGTCTGCGTCCCTACCCTGATACGACTGACTGCAGGTTACGTGTGGCTCGGCCATGCCCTGTTGTCTACGTGGCTACCCTGACACGACTGACGGCAGGTTACGTGTGGCTGGGCCAGGCCCTGTTGTCTACGTCCCTACCCTGACACGACTGACGGCAGGTTACGTGTGGCTGGGCCAGGCCCTGTTATCTACGTCCCTACCCTGACACGACTGACTGCAGGTTTCGTGTGACTAGGCCAGGCCCTGTTGTCTACGTCCCTACCCTGACACGACTGACTGCAGGTTACGTGTGGCTGGGCCATGCCCTGTTGTCTACGTGGATACCCTGACACGACTGACGGCAGGTTACGTGTGGCTGGGCCAGGCCCTGTTGTCTACGTTCCTACCCTGACACGACTGACTGCAGGTTACGTGTGGCTGGGCCATGCCCTGTTGTCTACGTGGCTACCCTGACACGACTGACTGCAGGTTACGTGTGGCTGGGTCATGCCCTGTTGTCTACGGGCCTACCCTGACACGACTGACGGCAGGTTACATGTGGCTGGGCCAGGCCCTGTTGTCTACGTGCCTACCCTGACACGACTGACGGCAGGTTACGTGTGGCTGGACCAGGCCCTGTTGTCTACGTGCCTACCCTGACACGACTGACTGCAGGTTACATGTGGCCGGTGTGGCTTTTTGCGGGTACTCTAATTGTAACGTCTCTAGAGGTTGAACACGGCATCTGGGATCTGCCTTACTGGACCTCCGTTCAGCCTGAGACTGTTTAATCTGGGGATGGTGTAGAGAACCTTTAGATATCAGACCGGAGGGCACAAATAATTATATCCCAGCCAGTGCTTTGATAGTTGTGGCGCTGGGGGGGGGGGGGTAGAGCAGGCTATGGAGTTCTCCGGTCGTTACGTACATCAACAATTGACCATGGTTCCAGGGTCAACTTAACCTTACACTGGTACCAGGAAATGTCTTTGGAAAGTAAAAGCTGACGAAATGATATTGCCTGCATCATATTAAATTTGAGTCGCAGTTAAGCCCCTTGTGTAACATGAACTCATGATGGTTCTTTCCCTCGGCATTCGTGTCTAATATTTTTTACTGTAACATACGGGGGTAGATAAGGTCCAGCGGCTAGTCGCCCGCCTACGGATCGGAGGGTTTTTGGTTCGGGTCCGGAAGCAGCCTCTTAGGACCTCATCATTATCATGTGCCCTGCCAACTGCATGGGTGCTCATGCATCTCCACAGATCACGATCGCTGGTTGCCTGGAACGTCTGCCTTGATGATATCCCTCCATGCCATAGCTTCACCCCATCCAGCATCACCTCTCTTGGTCTGCTTCTCTTTCCACATCTTTCCGAAGTGTTCCAATAACTCTCTTCTCGTTACGTGGGCAAAGAACAGTGTTTGTCTTCTTGGAACATACTCGGGGAACACAAATACTAAGAAAGGAGAACTGTTATCCAAAGTTTTGGTTTAGACAAAGGATCAACGTCAATACACACGGGTAGAAACCCATAAGTGCTCCGTTATACTTCTAACCCAAGCCTGAGTCCGAAAAATCGCATCACGGTGCACGAACTCCGTGGCACCGGCGAAGATCCTAAAATACTTTTAGCTCCAAATTTTGCCGGGCAGCACCCTTAGGCATCTCTTTTCGATTTCCAGCTGCCAGAGGATTTTTTTTACGTGCGCAACAATACACACGCAACATCGTGCAATAATACATGCAGTTTCAAAGTACAAACATCAGAGTACCCTCTTACAAGCCTTCGGGCATATTGGGCATTTAAAGCTAGATATATAGGGCTAGACATCTATTTTATAGACTAATCCGCGCTCGATGGAGGAAATTCTCAGCATCACACCGTTTGCCTTTACTTCCAAAGACTTTACCTTCTACCCATTTAAGACTGGGTCGACCTGGGAGCCAGGGTTCTTTTTAAAGGTCCGACTCTGTCAAGATCTGAACCTACGACTTTCGGATCCGCGAGCACGTGTTCAGCCCCTACACCACAGCAGCCCTCTTAATATTAGTGTGCTGAAGGGTAAATAAATTTAATAGGTAAAATGAAGTGTATAACGTTTTACAGTCAGTTGCGTGAAAATAAACTGTATAACGTTTTACAGTCAGTTGCGTGAAAATAAACTGTATAACGTTTTACAGTCAGTTGCGTGAAAATAAAATGAAATGTATAACTTTTTACAGTCAGTTGCGTGAAAATAAAATAAAATGTATAACATTCTACAGTCAGTTGAGTGAAAATGAAATGTATAACATTCTACAGTCAGTTGCGTGAAAAAAAAATGACATCTATAACATTTTACAGTCAGTTGCGTGAAAATAAAATGAAATGTATAACATTTTACAGTCAGTTGCGTGAAAATAAAATGAAATGTATAACATTTTACAGTCAGTTGCGTGAAATAAAATGAAATGTATAACATTTTACAGTCAGTTGCGTGAAAATAAAATGAAATGTATAACATTTTACAGTCAGTTGCATGAAATAAAATGAAATGTATAACATTCTATACTCGGTTGGGTGAAAATACAATGAAAGTATAACTTTCTAAAGTTAGTTGGATATTCTTTACAGAATGTTACAGAACCAGCCTCAGCATTTGTTCTGGGTAATTTCACTAGGCAATGTTACGTTTAGTAGTTTGCCATTGCTCACTGAACGGTCAGCTCGTTATAGCACTGTAGAAATCAAGGCTAGTCTCTCTTCTGTCAGATCGTCGCAGTTGAGTTCGAACCCAACTCCTCTGAATTACGAAGCGTCTTAGCAACGCTTAGCGTTCTAAGCCACAGACTCCGAAGGAAGCCTAAAATAGAGTACTTATCCACACGGTTGAAGTATTTAAGCTTTTAGGTTCTGTCGCCTCAGCCACTCCTCACTCAACTCCCCCCCCCCCCCCACCCGGGCCGCCTCATGTTCGCCTCCACTTTTGCTGCACATCACAACATAAATCATTTATATTAGTTCCAGTGTCTGCCACACCTGTGCAATCTGTCTTCTCACCTGAGGATGTGACATAATGGGGTTAATGAAGTCCTGATCCTTAATATACCGAGAGACTGATCCTCATTGGGCCCAACAAGACAGCAATAAACAGTACAGGTGTGAGGCCTGGACTTTCTCCAGGAGTAAATGTCGGAGATTTGCTCCTTGGCAGGCACCAGGTCCAAATTCTGGGGTCATCGTTTCACTCCAGCACCGTGCACTTTATGGAAATTTACTGTAAGACTTTCAGCTGTTACATTTGCCGTTCTCTTTTCGATTACAAAGA